GAAGACTTACCAACTATCTTCATCAGTGGTTCAGGAGTCAATAGATAACTTGTGTGTGCTGAGGTGGTTATGTTACTAAAGAAATAAAACTGGTTGATTTTCATCATTATTGATGATAGTAAATGCTGCAACCGATATGTACCTGCCCGTTCCGGATCTTCTTTCTGTTCTTGACTTAGCTGATTCTGGTGTTCAAGGGACACCGTGGCATTTACTGTTGGGTATAATTTCTCAATACCTAGTTCTGGAGTGGCTTGTTCCTGTGGCAAGACTGGGTTCAGTCGTCCAGGATTGTGGACAATTTTCTGATTCTCCACAAGTGTAGAATTAGACAATCAGGCAATGGGATAAAACAGTACACAGATCTTGGCATCAGTGAGATGATATCAACTGGCCAGGAAACAATGGTGGAACTCACTTTGCTGGTGACGATGACAACAAAGATTGAGCTTCAGAGTGTTGCCAGAACTTTTACTCCTTAGCAAGTTGAACAACAGGTCAGTATATAGCATCTTGAGGAAATCTTCCAGGATCAGTAGCATTTGAGCAATGAAATGGCAGATGATGTCTTTGCCCATTGAAAACACTTTCTAGGAGTGGTACAGATGGATTGTGTCCCACACAAAGCTTTCCACAATTTTCTATCGTATTGCTAACTAAATCAAAAGTAAATTTGATGTCATTTTCACTTTGCTTTATTTACTACATTTTTTAAACTCTGTGTACAAATTGGTTTTAATTAAACATTTGTTCAAAATTAAAAATGTTATTAAATAACTTTAAAGTTAGAAGACATCAGTTAAAATCTGAGTGATTGGCTTACCAGCTTGTTGCATGTGGATATTATTGACATTAAAATTATTTTCTGTTTATTTTAACATTTATTATGAATTAATTACATTACATATTTAATTCTAGTTACATCTACAATGAATACAATCATCAAATGATGGATTATTTGTTATATTTGAGCTATTAACAATTAATATAAACCAACTTGTTCTAAAGATGGATTGTGTTAGACCGCTAACTTTGTACTAATATTAATAATTACAATAATTTTTAAATTAAAATTTAAAATTGTTGTAATTATCTATCATGTATAAATTACAAACTAAACCAAGTTAATTTTTAATAACCAATGTTTATCATCTGACTCCTTAATTTTATTGATTTGAAGAAGGAATACAATTAACTCTAAATACATTTATTATTGTTGTTTGTTAGTGTGTGTGTGTATATATATATATATATATATATATATATATATAAATTAAAACAGAGATCACAATTAAAATATTTTTTTTTAAAAAGAACATTAATTTGTGTGTGTGTGTGATGCCCACTATGACAATATGACAATAACTCATTTGAACTTATACAAATTCAAATGGGTTATTGTCCATGATGTTGCAGGGATGGAATAGCTTCCAATTAATGCACTTCATGAAAAGATTTCCACTCAAGTGAGATGATCTCTGTATTCTTGTAATTAAAGGTCTTTGATTCCTGCCTTTATATTTCCAGTTTTTCCAAATGTTTGAGGCTGATAAACTTCCATGTTGGATTCAGGATGTTAGCTTCTTTTAGAATGATCTGAACATCATTCTATATTGCAAAGGTAGCTAGGGTAATGATGGACAAACCTTATGGAAAATGTGCATTCCTTAAGTTGCAAGTCAAGGAGTGGGTGGTGGTGCTGTTGCCCAGTCAGCAACTGATGATGATCATTTAAGACAGTTGAAAATGTTTGTTTGCTAATTAAAGTATTTCTCATTGCTAGATTTTTAGTATTAGTGTTTTATTTGAACTGCATCCAGCTATTGTGTATGTATGTATATATATATATATATCAACTTCTATAATAGTGTATTTTTAAGTTAGTTATAGACTGTCACAAATCGATATACAGTATAATGTGTGTATAATTGGGAAAAAGGTAACAAAGTATTTATTATGTATATGAGAGGATACAGTACTACTCTTTCACTAAAAAAAAAATTAGATTTTCTTAAAATGAAATTATTGTTAAAATAAAGAATTAAATTTCATTGACATTTTCAAACTTAGAACTAATGATTATTTTCAATATCCGAATTTATTAGTTGAAAGGTTCGTTCAGCATAAAACTATAATTATATTCTTTCTATCCATTTACATTATTATTTTATCTGAATATTGGCAACTTTCCATTTAAAATATGAATCATTCAAAATATGACACACTTGCTATTTATGTATTTTCCTTTCAGTTGGCTTCATTTTAGCTGAATACTTTGTACTTGAAGTTACTTACAGTATATTCTTTGTTATGACAAAAGATGGAATAGAATCTGTTGAAACATTAAATCAGAAAAAAAATTTTTTAAAGCATTATAATAATGCAAAAATAATCCATTTGGTTTCTAGAATTAAGCATTTATTCTATGACAAAAAATATAATATAAAAGAATTTCTGTTATATTATATTGTTTGATGTGTTAATATTTAAGTAATGTTCTTGTACTATTTCACAAAATTAATGACATAATATTAAAACAAAATTTATTAAAGTAATTTCACCTTCTGTAATAGTAAGAGCTTCTTCATTAATAAATAGAGTACAGTTTAAGTTAGAAACATTATTTTATTTATTTTTTCTTTTTGAATGAACTTAAAATTTTTTATGAATTTCTTTTGTTATAAGAATTAAAAAGAAATGTGTTTCTAGAATAATTTAAACATGTATAAGCATTCTTAGAACTACAATCTTTTCCAGAATAAGTATGGAGCCAAATTTTTTAGTCTAGAAAATATGCAAAAGAAAATAATTTTGTGCTTATTATGAAGTAGAACATAATATATACAGAACATATATTAGAAAATTATAAGATATGTTTTAAACTGTTATAATCTGTTTGGAATTTCTGCAAGAGATATGAGATTGCTATCTAAAATGTGCATTTGATTAGTGGCAGTTTCCTGATGCGTTATATGTGACAGGATCCAAATTCAGAGACTTGATGTTTAGTTCCTCTTCTTGAATAGTTCAAAACACTAACTTCAAAATAATCCATTTCTTTGGGTGATGATATACTTTTGGCAGTGCTCATACAGCTTCTAGAGGCTTTGCTATAAGCCATCTTTTGCAACCAAACATGTAATGTTTTTCTCCTGCAATGCTGGTTTTATCTCATTTCATGACTCATTGATGTCCCAGCAAATGTTGTTTCATCAATCAAAACAGGTAAAAACAACAAGGATCTAAGTTAGTGAATTCTGGGCAGGAAGTGGAAGTACATTATACAGTAGAGCCTCGAAAACTCGGTCTAATGTGGACCGAAGGGTGGCCGAGATTGTGAAAATGCCGGGTTATCGAGAATGGGGTTAAAAAAGGATATGTATGCATGTTTCCTCAGAAAATATTGTACTGTACTTGTATGTATTGTTTGCTTGAGAATACAACAGAGAATAAACTGCCCAAATACCCTTAAACAAAGGAAAAGTACGTACTTTATGAAGGCATAGAGCCTTTACTACATGAAAATGAAAATTAATGAATACACTGTGTACAGTAATTTACCTGATAAGACAGGCCTCAGAAAAATACTTTATGAGGCATAAAGCTGTCTATAATGAAAATTAATTAAGTAAGGATTTTTTTGCCCTGCCAGGGTGTGGCCGAGTTATCCGGAGTGCCGGGTTATCGAGTGCTGAGTTTTCGAGGCTCTACTGTACTACCATTTCTGGCAAAAGTTTTTCTGATTATTATGCACTGATGTGCAGGCATTTTGTCAAGGAGAAAGGACCATTGTCTGCTTTTCTACGTCGTAGGCTATTTACGACAGTTGGACTCGCACAAATGATGTAAAATGATAATGCACCTTATTCACTGTTCTGCTTTCAGGAATATTCTAAATGGAATGTCATGAATAGTCATAGTCCCTGGATTTTTTATCTTCATATTTTGAATGTTTATGTAATTCTGAGGGAATATTTTAAAAACTATTCTTTGTTTGAATTAAAAGTATTGTGATCTGATGATGATACAAAATGTATTGAAAAAATGCTTAACCTAGCATTTTTATTTTTGGCCAATTGGTATAGTAATTTATTAACAAATCATAAATCTAAATAAATACATACAGGCAACAAACTCTGAAATAGTCTAATGTTTGACTGATAAAGTTTGATTAACTATTGGTCTAGAAGTTGTCTAATTAATTTCATGCATATCATTGTGTATATAATTCAGAATTAAGGTAGGTGGTTAAGCTGCCATCTTGTATTAAATATAATTTTTTAATGTGATTAAATAACAGATTATTCTGGAAGGAAGTAAAGACCATTAATCTGTATTACTGGCTTATTTACATGCTACATTTTAAGTTAAATAATGAAATTGGGCTTAAAAATGAGCAGTTAGGCCACCATCTTATTCACAGAGTAATAACTAGGGTTAATTTTGAAATTTTATTAAATAATTTACAAAATTTTGGAGGAAGAAATTGATCTAGAACAGGAATGGCAAACCCTTGTCACAAGAGCCATATATTTCCCATAAGAAGTATTCAAGAGATGCATTCTCTATTAGAACAGTTTCATATAGTGTGCATGTACAGTACTGTACAGTACATGCACACTATATGTAAATGTTCTAATAGAGAATATATATGTAGTTAAAATACAAATAATATATGGAATCCATTGTCAGGATCTAGAAGAGCTGCAGGGGCTTAAAACCACAGTTTGGACACCATGAATTTAGAATTATACTCAAATTACAAAAATACTGGAAGACATCCTACCAATGTCAATGCTTTCTATTCATTTATAGTAGTCATATTTATCAAGATTTTCATTTAAAAACATATTGCCAATTAATGAATTTGAATGTTACCTATAATAATAGTTCTAGTAATTTGAATATTACCTATAATAGTTCTAGTAATTTGAATGTTACCTGTAGTAATAGTACCTATAGTAATTTTTCATAATTAATTTTTCTACTAATTCTTTCAGATTTTTAGTTGAGCAAGGATGCATCCCTCCATTATGTGTGTTGTTGACAATGATGGATGCCAAGATTGTTCAAGTAGCATTAAATGGATTAGAAAACATTTTAAGGTTGGGAGAACAAGATGCCAAAAATCATGGCGGAATAAATCCCTATGCCGTCATCATCGAAGAATGCTACGGTAGGTTTTAGTTTTGATCACTTTCTAGTAAATATGTCCCCCTTTAGTTATTGATAAGATTACTTTAATTGCGACATTTAGGTTTGGACAAGATAGAATTTTTACAATCACACGAAAACATGGAAATTTATCAAAAGGCATTCGATATCATCGAACACTATTTTGGAACAGAAGAGGAAGATGCCCGTATTGCACCTGTAGCCGACGAAAATAGCCATCAATTCCAGTTTAGTGCTGCAGATCAAGGTGTTCCTATGGGTGGCTTTAAGTTTTGAGTATAAAAAAAAAAAAAAAATTTGTAAGAATTAAAACAAAGGCAAAAAAAGTCTTTCTCCAGTTATTTCATTCAAGCAGCTCTTATTTTACTTTTCGAAATGAGAAAAAAAATTTCCTATATTGAAGTGGTTGCCTTTTGATCATTAATGCCTGAAAATGACTGATATTTAGATGCCGTAAGGACTAAAATTAAAAGGGAAAAAAAAAGAACATTTTTCTTCTAAATATATTTTGGTAATATTTCTAGAGGTTGTATTTCTCAGATAACAGAAGTAATGTTTGGAATATATAAGCTATACATGACGAAATAGTGAAAAAAAAAATGTACAAGATTGTTTTAATATATTTAAATATAAAAAATGTTTTGTTGCTGTTGTACAAACAATATTGATTAATTTAGAAATGCTAATGAATTAGTATGTAGATTTTATGTTGCTTTAAATGAATAATTTAATTAGTTTCACTAATTCTTCCTTTCCTACATTGCATGTCACTTTACACTTACGTGATTTAAAATTTTAAGATAAAATTATTACTATTATTATATAAAGTAGAAAAGAAAATTTGAAATAATTTCCAACTAAATCCTAGCAGTTATTGGGAACACCGTGAGGTGTACAGTTTTCTTATTGGTTTAAAATTAATTTTAAAACCTGTAATCTAAAAAAATAGCGTGCCTTAAGTATCTAAATTATAGTAGCCGATAATCGCATTTTACATTCGGAATTTAATTTTAAGCATATATTTCCTTTGATAAGATATATATTATTAATTATATTATAAGATTAATAATTGCATTTATCCTAATTTGAAATATTTATGCTTCTATTTAAAATCACTAGATTGTATCGAAGTGATATTCTCACATCATGCTATTAGCCCACATTTTAAGCACACGATATTTGAACACCTCGAGATTAAAATCTCTGCACAAAGGCACACATTTGTACAATTAATTCGGCCTATGAAAATTATTCTGTTTAAAAATTATTTTTCTAAAATATTTAAAATTTCATATATACATATATACAGATAAATATATTAATGATTAGCTTTATTCAGTATCAAAGTTTTCGTCTCTTATTGGCTCTCGAATAATTAATAGGATAGTTTACGCTCATAATTCTTCTAACAATTTGATTCCATATCACTGAATTTTCAGATTAAAATCTCTGACAATCAAACCCTTTTTTATAAAAAAAAAAATAAGTAAAAGAAACGAAAAAATGAACCTGTATATCATAACCTTTTGTAAAATTTCCTCAAAATCGATTAATACATTTTTCGAGACATCTTTTATTTGATGTTAGAAAAATCTTTGTATCGTTACAGAAAATTTCACGTTTTTCTCTTTCCTTTATTTATTTAATTTTATGCTAATACGTATGCGATTGTTTAAACGACAGACTATTTTTTCCCCCATACGTTCAGTTGCGAGTTCTGTAAGAAAAAGTTTTCGTTCCCACTGCTGGGGTTTGGTTCATTTATATCTGAAAATTTGAAGAGAGTTGGTTTTAGATCCCAAAAACAGTAATGTTTTATAATGTGGAAAAAAAAAAAGATATTATTGGTATTTATTCAATAAGTTTTTTAATATATTTATTTAAATATTTTTCTTTAAGAATCAGATTTTTAAATTGAAAAACAATCAATTTAAAAATATGATTATTATTTTTTTGTTCCATTTTGATGAGATGTATTGTCAAGAAAATTTATTTTTTTAGTCAACAACATATATTCTTTTCTTGATTAATATAAATATATGTAGATAGATAGTTAAGAAATCTGTTTGAATAATTTAAATGATGATAATGATGAACTTCTGAACTTTGTTTCGATTGAATCTGTCAACGGGGAAAAAAATCCTGAAGCAGATCTTCTCAAAAAAATATTTCTAGAATGTTGACTTTAATATTACTTTGTGTATATTTGTTATCTCTGTGATGGTGTGTCTTATTCTTCCAGTAAAATTTTCTTCAGAATTGTGTAAATAACAATCTAAACGACTAATAACAGTAATAATTAATAATGATAATTAATAATAGTGGCACAGCCGAATTTCAGTTTTGCTTAATATTGTGTTTTTATTTTGTGTCGTGTTAATTCATATATAATTAATTTTTTCAATTGTTAAACTATGGTTATCCTTGAAATTGTCTTCTATTAATAATAATTATGTAATATCCTAAGATAGTAACTAAGAAAAAAAAAACAATATAGAAACATTTTAAGTATAGATTTAAAAATTTATGTAGATTATCCACATTAAGGAACAAAGAAATAAAACATGAAACAACACCACAGACACAGACACAAACATACACAAAACACACACAATGAATGAGAAAAACTGAACACGACGATGTGGGTTTGACTGGTGGCAGATCGTTTTTTATATATAATGCACTCAAAGTAATATATTATCGCAAAAATTATCTTTGAGATGAATTTTTGCTATCCTTTGCATAGCCAAAAGCGTTCGTAATGAATTATTATTTAATAAATTTAGAGCAGAGATAGCAATGTAAAAATTGATTCAATATAACTGCTGTAACGTCTTTGTTGCGTCGGAATCGACGACTGTAAGTAATAACCGTAGAAAAATCGAAACCACTCGGATTTAGATCGTCGTCTGAATCTTCTGATTTGTCCAGAAAAATATCTGAGTTGTGGGCCAAAACATTAGTCATTCTACAACTTAAAAAGAAAATATAATCCCTCTTCCTGTTTTATAACATGCCAGAAGAGAAGATAAACTTTTCCCCCATACTATGCAAAATTAGTTTTGACTGTGATATTTCATTTAATTGAAAACTTTGACTATTGTGAGAAATTTAAATATGTACAGACGACAAATTTTAATAATTTAATCAGCAAATTTAATTAACTAACTGGATAAAGAATTATTTTCAGTTTGTAATTATCTAGTCTACTTGATTTCACAATAGTCAGCTTTATTGTAAATGTTTGAAGTGTTTTTTTTTTTATTGTGTAGTTTATGCTTATTATAATTATAATTATTATTATTATTATTATTAAATTTTTTTTACTCAGGGCAATAATAATAATACTGTATTGTGTTATTTAAATTAGTTTAAACGATTAAACAAAAGGGATGTTACTAGGAAAAAAAAGAATTGTTTTCGTATTGTCATTTAGAAATTTTTTAACAAAAAAGAAACGAAAGTACTTGTTAGGATAATGTAATATTCTTTATATATACTAGGCACATCCCTAATTTTTAAACTTTGTGTGCAGTCTGCCAGTTCTTACTCACAAACATTGTACATATACACAACACATTCACAACAAGTACAACATGTACATAGGACACTGTATACTACAATCATTACTTGTACAATGTACATGCATTACTAATCATATTTGTGAAAAGAAAAAAAATGTATTAAATTTTTTTGTTTGATTAATAAAGAAAATTTGTGTATGTAAATGATATTTAATGTTTTTTGTGAATTTTTTTTAGTAGTTTAAGCTTATATTTTGTTGCCAAAATCGGTTTCCATTAAGCTAGCGTACACTTAATTGTACACGTACATATAGCGCGTATTGCTTAGCGATTTTAGCATCTATATGGAATCTAATTCTGTACTTTTAGCAAATTTCAAATTCTATCAGAGTTTTATGCATAAAAGGAAAACAGCATTTACTTCTGTAAATTTCAATCTTCTAAATTACTCCTTATACTTTCTAAAATATAATATATTTTACCATATTTTTAATCCTCGGGGGGTCTCTCTAAATAGTTAACTATTACAAATCATAAGTTTCAAAATTACGTATCACTTAATTTTGCACTTTTTGGTTATTAAAATTAACTGGTGCACCACTGCAATTTATTCAGGTTAACTAACCTCTTGCACGCCATTTAACTTTAAAGTTTAATCAGGTGTAATCAACCTCATACACCACTTTAATTATTCAGTTTTAGTCAAGTGTAACCAACTGCAATTAAACCATTCGAATTCTACTAGTTTAGTTAGGTGTAGTCAAACTTGCCCATTTAAAGTAGTTATTATTATATTTTTATATAATATAAACCAGGAATTTAATCATAATTTAATCAAATTGAACTCATGATTTAGATATACATTTTTTTTTATTTTTAATTATATTAGTTTAAGATGTATTCAATTATTTATTAGTTAATTTCAATTACAGCAGAGTAGAATTGTGTGTATAGATTTACAGTATA